CAACTATCAGCTTTGACGTTTTGCAAACAGCCGCAGAGAGAAATGACGATTCAGCAGATATCGAGAACGTCCGACGGATTCCTAATTGACAGTCTCGCAGTGTGGAGCCACGATTCGCCGACACGTCAGTTGATCTGCAATCGTAAGCGCAAAATAAAATAGGACAAGCGGAAGTGCGGCAAAATTTATCGAAGGAGCGATGCAGGGTATTCGGCAATTTTCATTTTTTCATGTACTTTTTTATTTATATGAATATTTTTCCAAAAAGAGATATAAAAGCGCTTAAAATTAATAGTTTTAAAAAGATAAAAATTTAACATCTGCACAGAGAAATTAAACTAAGGATTAATTTTTTATCTAATTTACAGCTAATGAATATTGGGATGTTTGTTAATATTAATAGATTCCTATTTATACATACATATAAAGTAACGCAAAGTTTGCCACATGCGCAAATATATAATTTTTTCATCAATAAATAATCTCCCGATACAGATTTAAATATCGCATTTATTTGAGACAATATCACGACAAGCGCAAAATGGAGTGTCTCATTGAAAAGCGAACGCGTGTTTGATGAGCCATTCAAATTCATTCGCGAATTGTTATCAAATCTCTTACATTTATTATTTGATATATATGTATATATGTTGCCCTTATATGTTCTAAGGAAATCAAAATATTTCAGTTTAAAAAGAGTAAAAATAACAATTTATATTATTATTTTTCTAAATTTTAATCAAACTTAATATGATAGACAGACTTTTTTTAAACATTATTTAAGGAAAATAAAAATAAAATATTATTGCAAATATAATTAATGTATATTTTACACAATTCTTAAATATCTTTAAAGATATTATATTAACGTTTCATTTGATAATAAAATTTTATTTCAATTCGAGCCAGATCAGTAAAAGATATGATGATTGTCATGTATATAAATACTTTATAAAATTTTATTAAATGAAAGAGCATTAATTCTACTATTTCTCTACTGTTCCCTATATTCTTGCTGTTTCGTGACACAATAGACAAACTTTCAGAAAGAATGATTAAAAGGTTTTTTTTACTTATCTTTTAATGATAAAATGGTAACTTTATAATTTCAATTTTTGCAATATTGTAAATTTAAATCATTCAACAAAATCGAGATCAAAATTATTAGAAATTTATTATGCAAAGTCTTACGATTGCAATGTCTTTTTGAAATATGGCCATCATAGTAATTATTAAATCTTAAAGGGTCTTCTAATACTAAACACAAAATCAAATAATTAGAATTTATTAAATAGCTTTTATTGCTTGTATTGCAATCTCCTATATAAACACTTGAAAAACACTTTCTAACAGAAAGCAGTAAAAGTTTCGGCGAAGGTCGCTATTACATAAATATAAGGTTACTATTAAAAATAATAGTTATTTGTTAGCAAACAAAATTAGCTACACTAAAGCTTCAATAAAGGAAAAAATGCAGCTTCAATAAAGGAAAAAATGCAATTGTATTGTATGTTTACAGTATTTTAATTTAACCGTATAATAACTCTAGCTAAGTTATTTGTCGAACAAATCTTGTTGTCCTGTTATCCCGCTGTGAACACATTTCTTTCTAACGAATACTTATTAGAATCTTACCTAAATCGAGCTCGTTTCCGGAACTAAGAAATCAACGGTCTCGGGGTGAAAGTTCTCTTTGACATTCCAATTTATTATCGCGTGTTATATTTCACTATTCATAACTAATGAACTTTAAATAAAAAATGTTTGATTTAGAGTTAATAAAAAAATAGAGAAATAAAATTAGAAAAATAAAAAATGTTTGATTTAGAGTTTATTAATTATGGAAGATGATGATTAAATTTCACGGAAAGAAGGATTATCTTAATTCTTTGTACACATATTTTAGTAGCTGATCTCATTAAAGCTAAAATTTCATGGTGTAAAAGAAAAACATTATTTATTTCGAAAGAGTACGTTTTTTATTTTTTTTTTTCTTTAATATAAAAATTAATAAAAGAGAGATAAAAGGGGCAGTTTCCTAATACAAAAAACACATAAATATATACATGTATATAATTCGCACACACACACACACACACACACACACACACACACACACACACACACACACACACACACACACACACACACACACACACACACACACACACACACACACACACACACACACGCACATATAATTTAAATTAATAATAAATATTTATATATTTTTTTAAATAAAATTATATAATGTAATAATATGCATAATTCCTGGTTATAATCATATAAATTGTAGTTGTGATAATATCGATACTCATGTTGTGACGTGGCTGAAGAAAAGAAACCTTCCTCCTTCCCTCTCTCATCCCCTCACACTCATGTTATTGCCTAACTCGTCGATTTTATACGGTATCGCTAGTGGTCCATGCATATGTAAAGATTTCTCGCAGAGGCTTCGCTGTGCTCGCGAGAGCTCGGGCTAGGGGTGCCAAGGGGCTTCCTTCGTTCCTAACATCTGTTTTATATAACCGTTTTATGTCACATCCGCCCTTTGCCGATCATCCGTTTTGCGTGTGACATATACATATACACATTGAATGTTTTATATAAATTCTTAACTTGATTAACACACACAAGCCAATCGAGCATCTGCGAGGTCTCTCGCGAAGCTTAATATCAAAAAATGGTTAATAATAATCGCATTAATTAATAATTGTCACACCTTTGCACGATATATGAAAATATTGGTGTAATAATTGAATGAAAATATTGGTTATTCAATTAATCGTGCTATTTACGTGAAGGGGGTAAAATAATGCGACAACATACAGTACACGATTATCTCTTGGTTTCTCAAACAATTACGTTAATAATATATGCTGAAAAGTAAACCAAAATAATAAAATAAAAATAAGCGATTCTTTTGTAGCTTGTGTACAAAACAATCACGAAATTTTATGTATATATACACATATTTAATTCCTTTTTTGCAACATACATTAGCTCCCACGTATGTTAAAAGAAAATTTTAAAAATATATGCTAAATTATAGATCTTATATTTGTAATTTAAGAATATATATCAAAAATATTTTTGCTGGAGTAAAAATAAAATTTTTTAATACTTCTCTCTCTCTCTCTCTCTCTCTCTCTCTCTCTCTCTCTCTCTCTCTCTCTCTCTCTATTTATATGAAAACTGGGTGGTCCGCAAAAGCTAATCAGCGAAATGTATATTATTGAAACTTTCTCCAACATTTCTCGATTTCATATTCCATTTTCAGAATTCTCTCAAGAAGGGGATGTACGCACGACACCGACTTTGTGTCATACTGTGTCGTGCGACAACCGTCGTGCTCCTTCTGTGTTAGACCTTTATTTACTAGACAACTTTTGTTATACCCAATTCGTTTTTATGATCCTGCTGAGTCTTTAAAATTTTAGTTTCTTCTTAGAATTGATGTGAACGTTCAGATTCATTTTGATGTCAAATTTGACGACAGCCACGTGCTTTACGTCTGAACTCCAAAAGTCTCTATTTTTTTCTGATCGTTTGTAGAGATAAAATATCAGATATCTATATCTCTTGATTTATGTAAATCACATTGGAAAAAATGCCATTATGCAAACAGATCGGACAGATATAACTTTTAAGAGTAATTGAAGATTTCTCTCATATATGAAGATCTGTAAATATAAAAAATAAAAAATGCTCGATAAGTAATTTTTTCAAAGTTTATTTTTTGTAGAAAAAATGTAAATAAAATTTATTTGACATTCGATTTGTACAATATAATAATTCTTCTAAAATTAATAAAGTATTTTATGAATCATCCTATTACCACACATGTTAAATAATATTTATTGTGATGATGATATCATAAAATAAAACTTCAATGAAAATCTTAATGTATAATTCATATATTTATATATGAATCCAATTGCGTGTAACATTTATGCGCAGTATTAAATTGTATTGTAAAACTGTGTAATTATTAAGATTCGTACAATAGAATCATGATATAACAATATAATTTAATAACTCATTAATTATACAAATTTGATATTTTATATATATTTTTAATTGTCACTATTAGAAATGTAAGTCCAATTTCTAATATAAATTCTATTCTTGGACAAAACTATAAAACTGTAATCAAAAGAATTCGACAATCAATAGGTCAATTTACAAACTTTTCAAAATTTTCTATCTCATAAAAATCGACACTAACAAAAAATGGAAATCCCGTTTGCACTCTATTGAAAATCTCGAAGGGTGATAGCATAAAACCCAGCAGAAACGCTAAAATAGAAAATACCTCTCGTAAAACGAAGAAAAAAATCGAAGATGAATGATTTATTATTAGCTATTTTGCTGTATGTTCGTCAAATTTTTAAAACTAGCGGTAAAATATTTTCATTTTCATTCATAAAGTTGTGGTAGCACCTGAAACTATTACTTAGCTTACCGCACACGCGACGGCTGTAAAAGTGTTTACGTTTTCGAAAAACTAGACAAGCGCATCGCCATAAGTACAATGAGGAGACTCGACCCAAGCAACACAGTAGCCATTTTTTGCCTTCTATAAAAGTTATACGGCAGCCCATCGTGGCCGAGTTGCGACTTTAAGGCTTTCAAAGAAACATATTGTACGAATAATTATGATTTACAATATGAAGCACGATCATTCCTAGTCAAACCTGATCATAATTTCTCCTTCGAGAAAACAGCATTTTTTTCTTTGGTTTATTCGATTTAAAATTCTATTTTATTGTTGCATTATCAATCAAAAGGACTTATTAATCAATCATTGGACTTAATATCTGTGAAATTAAACTCAAGATGCGAGATGTAAGTATTTGTGCACAGTGAATAGTACGGCTCTATGGTTGGCACTATTCAAGACTATGACGCAATCCTTAATAACTTATAAAATACTAGTTCAAGGTAACTGTCGACAAGAATAAAGTTTCAGTTCATAACTACGCATGCAACGCATAAGATGTCATATCTTCTATTTTAAATGGACGATTTTATGTTCGTTTGTTTAACGTAAAGTAGGTTCCTCAGCATATTTAATATGTGAAAGGTAGAATTAGTTATTAAATATCAGTGAAATAAGAATAATCTAAAATTCAGTAAGTATGTATTTTCAAAAAAATTAATAAAAATTACTTTTAACTTTATCAAAACATAAATAATGGCTTTTTTAATGTAATTAACAAAACTGAGTAAATTTTGTATTTTCCTAATTGTCTTGCTTTTGAAATAATTATAATTTGAGACAACATTGACGAAAATAGCTATATTTAAAATAATTTATAAATGATCAATATGTAATTCAATAATCAATATAATTTATAAATGATTAATATAATTTATAAATGATCAATATATGATAGAAATATGTAATTCTTTTCAATTTTTTAACATTAAAAAAAATTATTCAATAATTATCAAAATACTGTACATAAATATATGTAATTTTTTTAATATTTTAGAAATAATTTTGGAGATAATTTTAGAATTCAAAACAAAAGAATATTGCTTTTAAAATAATTAAATCACAAAAATTATGTTAGTTATAAATAACAATTTTATGTTGACATTCTTTTCAATAATAAATGTTTCATTAAAGATATAATATTTTATAATTTGTGTTATTTCGCAGAACTAATATATTTAAGAATTAAAATGAATGTATCACAAAAAATGAATGAAATGATCATGAAACAGTTTTTTAAAATGGTACTTCGGAAAGAACTTTGTGATGAAACGATTAACGTGCTTCATGTAAAGACTTCCAACTTTGAAAAGGGAATCAACTTTCTTAGTGATTTTTTCAAAGTGCGAATTACGTATACTATTCTATCCAAAATTGACAAGAAAATTGCGATACAAATCGCTGATATCGTCGTGAAATCGGAGCCTATAGACGGCATACAATTGACAATGGTTCACGAACAGGGCATGTTTATACGCGAATTAAAAATGCTGAAAGAAGTTTTACCAAAGATCGAGAAGCTTGTGCACAAGCAATTAGGACCAAAATTGTGGTACGGATCTTCAGAATTCAGAATTCTTGTTATGGAGAACTTGTCAGAAAGAGGATTCGTTATGAAAGATCGACAAAAAGGATTATCGATGGAACAGTGTCTTCTCGTGATCGAGCAATTAGCCAAACTACACGCAGGCTCTGTAGCCTTACACGAAAAGGTAAATGCAAACTAAACTACTGCATCTAATTATGGAATAATTTAATCTTAAGACTTGAAAAACATAAAATATTTACCGAATTAAATTATTTACACACCAAGGCTTCTAATCTTTGAGTCTAGTCTCATTGATAAAAAATTTTACTCTGTTATTTATATAATAACAAAATTTAAAAAACATAGAGATATAAAAACATAAAAAATAATGCATATATTTTTAATAAATTATTTTATATATCATTTTGTATGTCAGTTTGTATTGAAAATTTATTCTATAAAGTCTATTAACAATTTTATGAGAGTGAAATTATTAAATAAATAATTGTAATTTGTTTTATTTAACATATAAGTAAATCAAAATGAAAAAATCAATATTATAAGTATTTATAATCGAAGTTTAACCTTAAACAATGTACTTTAAAGGAACCCAAGTTGATCGAGTCATTTAAAAGCGGCGGGATTCTGTCTGTGAATTGTCCAGCGAGTTTTATGCGAATGTCGGAAGTGTCTCTGTTGAATGTGAGTAAAGCAATTCGAGATTGGACCGATCAAAAGTACGCACACATCGCGACTAAATTAGATAAACTGGCAAAGACGTTTAGAATTAGATGTGCCGATATTTACGAATACGAACCTAACGAATTCTGTGTTTTAAATCATGGTGATTGTTGGATTAACAATATAATGTTCAAAGAAAGTGATAATGGAAAACTCAACGATATTCTAATGGTAATGTTCCTCATCAAAAATAAGTTTTAATTATTTCGTTGAAAGTATATTCAAAATTAAATAATCATTCATATATAAGCAGAATAAATTTCGCTTTTTATTATAATTTATCAAGTTTTTAATTTACATGGAATATTTAGATGGGAATCAATTTTCTGAACAAATATTTGCAGGTGGACTATCAAATGTCTGTTTATTCATCTCCAGCTATTGATTTACACTATTTTTTGAACATTTGCCCGCAAATAAAATTCGAGAGTGATGATTTTTTACTGTTTTCATATTTGAAAACCTTGACGGATACAATGATTTCGTTAGACTATGCTACGAAAGCACTTACAATGGAAAAATTAAAAACAGCCCTACATGAAAAACGAATATACGCTGTGTTTGCAGGTATTATACTTGGCTTGAGAATGATGGCCGATTCAAAAGAAACAGAAGATTTCGCGGACGTGTTGGAGAAGCTGCAGGGAGAAACAAAAATGGACGTATTTAAGAATGCAGACACTGTGATGTTAGTTCAAAAAATGATTCCTATTATGGATCAAAGAGGCTATTTTGATTAAAAATAACACATTTAGTAATTGTTAATGTAATTTTATATTATTATTAATACGCATAGTTTTTATCTGCATTAAACAAAGACTAAATATAGCACGCATATAGTAAGAAAAATTTAAATTATATACATATTATATAAATTAATCATATATTATATATATTCCTTTCTAATAATTTTATTAAAAGATATTCCGGCAATATATTTATTCCGTCTGTTGTCTAAATACTAATTAATTTGTGTATTATTTTAAACTGTGATTTGCATAATATTTTAAAAATTGAATAAAAAATATATAAATTATATTTTATGTGCAACGATTGTACAGCGAAAAGTCAAGATGTTACGTAAATACGACAAGCAAGGATAATGTTTCAAAAGACTTTCGTCAAAGTTAACAAAGAGTAGAATAGCATTCGTAACATTTCAATAGTAATTGATTTATTGTAAGGCAGTAAAACATTTGTTCGAAAAATTCCGTAAAAATGTCTTTAGGAACCTTCCTTCATTATGAAGAAATATTGTTGTGGCAGGTTGGAAAGTGACCTGGTTGGACATAACTATTTGGATGTGCTTTTGTTTTTTTTCACACAAAAAAAATCTTTGATCTTTCTTGCATTCGAGATGAGAAAATCGATCCATCTCTTTTTCTGTTTTTTTTTCTTCTATTTTGTCCAAGCGCGTTCCTATTTAAGAATAAGAAATTTATTCGTTCTCGTTAACAAACTTAAACATTCCGTAAATCACCGTTGAAAAGGGCAAAATCGAACAATTCAGTAGCTGATCTTTGGTTCTCCGCACGAGATCAAAAGAAGGAGAGAAAGGAGCTAAGGACGCGAAGAGGAAGAGAATAATAGTAACGTTAGGTATACTCATAAAGTATCCGGGTTATTCGGATCAACTGGTTTCAGTAGCAAAGTTAAAAAAGTCTCATCTCGGTTAGCTAGCTCGGTTAAAGAGATAGCCGAGCCCTCTTCGCAGCACGCTTAAATGCTGTTCATAGATAAATGAAAAGAATGGCAGCTAATAGATAAAAATTTGGAAATTTTCTGGTTATAAATTAAACAATAAATTTTAAATGGTTTTTAATTCAAGTTTATTCATTTTTTGACATGTTTGTTCATTAAAATTTCTTGTATAAATGTATTTACTTGTTTTGCAAATTTCCTTGTTTCTCAAACATTACATTCAACTAAAAATAGTTATTTGTATAAATAACAATTCTATAAATTTATAAGCGTAAAATGTAAAGATGTGTTTAGAATCTTTTTCTTTTCTATAAATATATTTGTATAGAAATTTTAATTTTAGAATAAAAATTACATTCCTGTCGTAAAGATTTAAAAAAATTTTTTTAATTTTAAAAGTATGGTGCAAAGCGATTATTGAGTCACTTGTGCGTTAAAATATAACTCTAATCTGAGTTATTATTGATAATTAGTTATTATTGATAATTATTGTGATGTATAATAATCTTAGAAAAAGAAAGAGAAGATATCGATATAAATATATTTACATATTATATACAATATATATGTGTATATGAAATCTAAACAAGTGTGGGATGATATCGTGATCGATTCGAAAAAACGGACGAAGTCGCGTCAAATTCACAAGGGTTTACCAACTAATCCGTCGATTTTTCAGGTCCTATACATTAATACTACTCGCCCGACGAATCCGTCAATGTCTACCATCCTGAATAATGCCTTTTCTCGTGATGTCCTGGAAGAAATAACGACAAGATTAGTGGCGGCTTCCGTGGCTTATAAGAAGCAATTGATAAATTTCAAACTTTGGAATTTTTTTCACGAAAAGATAGGATTATGCGAGAAGATAAATGCAGTTTTTTGATCGACGCGAAGGGGTGAATGCTCTTTAGTAGTAAAAAATGGTACTGTTGAAGTGACAAAAGATTTTTCGGAATAATATAAAAAATATTTTAAGAAGAGAAGGATATTAAAGGAGAAAGAGATTTGAAAGCTTCGCAATTTGTCTTGTGCGACGAAATATATTTCTTGTACGTGTATACATTTATAATTTTTCAAGTTTTTTTTTTTTGATTATACTCTTTCTGAGTTTTCTAAAGAAACGTAAAGAATCAAAACTCTTTACTCTTATCTTCAACTTTTTTCACAATTATAGATTCTAAAGAATTTTGAGGTAGATTTGATTTATATAAAAATGATGAGCTCTCTCTCTCTTTCTCTCTTTTTCTCTTCTATACTTTGTATTTTAAATAGACAGTAAAGGAACAACTTTCCACTTAGAAAGAGAGGAGTTAAGAAAGAGGTTTTCAACAAACTATAGATAAAATAGTTTCAAAAGAGAGTAATTTGATTGTTTAAAATATCAAATATGTTAGTTTGAAAATTGAAATTAAAAATAAAAGAAAAATTGTAATTTTGTAATTTAAAGAAATTTCCACGTAATATATAAAGTTACAAAATTAAATTGTAATATTTGTGATATACTAAATTAAAAATTTTATTATCAAAATATCAAACATTTTTATAATATTTTTACAAGAACTAATTTTTTATTTTTACAAAATTATAAACGCTTTTGTGCGAGAATAAAAATTATTATCTATATATTTATAGAGAAAATTTATCTATAAATATAGCAAAATAGATAAATTAAATGTGTATGCATGTAGTACGAATGTAACATACACATACATGCATAGTGCGATAGCGTAATCTCTCAAGTTAAAAAACTATGTTATTTTATTCTTTCTTTTTTAAAATAAATAAATATATATTTATTCTTTCTTTTTAAAAATAAATATATATTTATAAACATATGAAGAAAATAACATGTCAATATATTTTTCAAGTATAAAAATGGGAAACGATTAAACGATGGACAACACAGATTTTCCCTCTTCTTATAATATCTCAAATACAGAATTAATCTCATCATCCCAAATGAGATTAGCTATTTGATATTGAATCAAAACACTTTCATTTCGAGGATAGTTGGTAGGTTCTGTAGAAGCGAAGGAACATACTTATCGGTATTATTCACGCCAGTTCTGGGTCCCATACGGGTGCATTTACGCCGTCGGCGCGCAATTTCGACGTGCGATGTGTAAATACGGACATGTCATTGGACAACAATATACCCGTGGGACTCGGATCATCATTGCGGTATCAACGACCACACCGTTCACTCCGCGAGGCCTTTTTCGACGCTATTCCATGGCCGTGCGACGAGTAAATTATTGCTAAATGGTAGACCGGCGGATGTCAAGATGCGGGCTCAATTCGGGTGGTCGTGGGATCTGTTCACAAAAATTAAATACGGAATAAAAATGTAACATTATTTTACGTGGAAACAGAGAAAGAGAGAGAGAGAGAGAGAGAGAGAGAGAGAGAGAGAGAGAGAGTCCAAAATAATTATATAACACTTATAATAATTTGTATATCACACCAACGCAGAAACATATGATTTATAATACGAATAGCAAATATACATATTTTTCCTAAAAGATATCAATATCCAAACATTTTTTAAGAGATGAGAATCCTTCAAGAATTCGTATTAGATATAAAATGTAATTAAATCGAAAGGAAAATGTAATATTATGTAATATTAAAATAATATGTAATATTTTTATTTATTTATAATATTTTTTTAATATTAAAATAATATGTAATATTATGTAAAATAATATGCAATATTATGTAATATTAATATAAAATGTAATATTTGTGCGAAACTTTTCTTTATCTCGTATATATAAAATCGCGTGTTCTTGTTATTTGCACACTAATAATAAGTAAGAGAAATTCTATTTTTATCTATTTAATATTGTATATATAATAATATTTTGTTTAAATTAAGACCATTGCCATTAAAGAATCGATGAACCAAAAATACAGATAATATAATAATGATGATGTTGAAGTTGATGTTTTGGATTCTTTCAATTATTATCGCATTAAAAAGTAACCAAATCGCTTCATTAAAATAGAAAATCGAAAGAGAAAAACATACTTGGAAAGATCATTACAAATCGTCAAGATTTTAATTAATAAACATAGAAAATTTTTCTAAATAAAGTTTAATCAAAATAATTAAAACTAAATTAAATTAAATTAAAATAAAATAATCAATGTGTATTATTAATTAATTACAGTTACACAGTACACAGTTTTGAATCGCTCAAACAGTTTTTTGTACAAAACAAATTTTCACGAAAAACAAAGTATATCACTCATCATATTCATCAAAAGCAAATATATAAATTTAAATACATCATATCTTTTATAAACTTAGAAATAAATAAATAGAAATAAATAAAATTGCATTTTATTTAATTTAATAAAATATGTTAAAGTTTTTGCAACATTTTTCGTCGACAGCTATTTAGTTTTAAATACAGAAACGAATAGATATTATTTGTATATAAATAATTGCGAATTATGAACTTTTTATTACATTAGGTACACATTAAATAAAATATCACAATTTTGAAAAAAAGAAATAATTATATAAATAAATAAGTTAATAAATATATAAAAAAAATAATTATATAAATAAATTAATAAAAATATAAAAAAAGAAATAATTATATAAATAAATAAATAAATAAATATATGAAAAAAAGAAATAATTATATAAATAAGTTAATAAAAATATAAAAATAGAAATAATTATATAAATATATAAGTTTAATAAATACAAAATAATTCGAAAGATTATATAATTTTTATGCTTGTGATGCATTTTTATTCTACATTTTTTGAAAGAATTCGCGTAGTACTTGACCCTTTTGGAAACGCATCGCACTTATTATCAGATTTACGTTCGCGATTATGATTCTGTGTGAATGAGAGACGCCAAACGTGATTACGATCGACTAGTGATACCAGGGGTGTGAATACCGTTGTCGCGTAATAAAGCGAAAGCGCTGGATTCATGTCGAGTGACACGTGGCGAATCGTGCTCGGGTACAAACTGATATCATTGTATTACTACATGCCACGTGACTGCCACTTAATAAATGTACATTATATCTCTGTCAGTCGATGCAACGGTCCTTGTCCCGAAATTTTCGATCGATATCTAGAAATGCTTTCCCGAAGGGAAGCCATCGGA